TCTACTCCAGTCTATGTCCAAGTATTCTTGTTGATTACCTAAACACAATAAACGTTATTATTATTATTATTATTATTATTATTTAATTGTGTTTCAGCTTATGGTATGGAAACCACTTTCATAGAGCTCTAGGAAAGTCGGAGAATTTTGGGGTAAGTTCGTATTAATCCTATGTTTATCGGAATATTTAGACTTGGAGATACATTCTGTAGTGTACTATTTATTGGTTTATTCACATGTTACCTTACATATTTTATCCGTAAGTGATTAACTTTCAAGCGGAGATAATTTTCTTTATTTATGTAAATGTTCATTTCAAAATTTGCTTAGTTTGGAGAATTTGATATTTACAATTAAATTTACTTTGACTGATGATTAGGTATGTGTCGAGCAATTTAAAATAATATACAAATGTTGGCAGTTGAGTTATAAATATGGTAAAAATGTTATGATTAAAAATTATTTTGTGGGTCGATTACTGATGTCTTTCATTATTTCAGTATTTCTCGTAAGTTATGGTATATTTCTATGTTCAGTGCTATAACGTTTGTGCCGAAAGGTAAACATAGTTGCGCCTTCCGGAATATCATTAATGTGCTCAATTTGATCGTATGGACTACGACCATGTGCCTACTTTGACTGAGCTACCGAGCCTTGGCATTTTAAATTTATTACAAGTACGAGTTTTTGCCTGTAACAAAATTTGAATTACTAAAAAATGCTAACATATTCTTCATATGTAACCTTTGTTACAGTTTGCGTAAATGTAATTTTCGATCATACCCTGTACTTTAGATGATGTTTATAACGTGATTCGTTAGCGTGCGAAGTTAATTCGTTTTAAGCGGCCGTATGTGGCTGACGATACATCATTAACTTTAAATGTTATGTTAAATCAATTACCTTTTCTATTGACAGTCATCCACCGGATTTGGGTTTAACCGAGTATTTGGCTATATCGGATACTATCTATAATAAGAATACAGAAACGTATATTTGATATATTTTCCGTTTGTTCGTGATCTTGACGATTGTTCATTGCCCTACATTAAGCGGTGAACACACCTTCTAATTAATCTTTGTGGATTACTTCGAATATATTCTATCTTGTAATGCCGTGCTTTCTTTAGCTTCTATGGTGGGTTTTGGTTTTCAACCGTACAGCTAACGTAATCAGCTGCGAAGCCATTATAACTGGGTCTCTTAAGATAATCTGTTCCTGTAAATTTGGACGGTGTAACATGGAAAATTATCGCCTTATCCCTCGCTGCCGCCAGTTGATCAACCACCAGATGTGACGTCATGACATCCGGCCGCCATTTTGTGAAATCTCTCCAATTTATCTCTCTTATCTCACGTATTAAACTATACGTAACATTTACGCGATTCAATCATATTTAATTGAACTTGAACCTTGAACTGTAGGTATGTTGTCAGGTTTTGAAATTGCTTTATGGTTTAAGGTTGTAATTACTCCAAGTCAATTTACAGATCTAATTTAATTGGTTATTCGATCAAATCTTCCTACTTTGACTGAGCTGCCGAGCCTTGCCATTTTTTAAATTTTACCAAGCACCCATTCTACCTGTCACAAACCAACTAAATTGTGCTGACAGTTATACAGGGTGGCAATTTGAAAACTTACCACCCTCCCCATGTCTTACTAAATAAACGAGATATTTTAAAAAATCAAAATCCGTTTCGGTAATTCGGAGGGGGAATCACAATGATAGATAGTTGGCGATGCACCCCCTCCAATTCCCCGCGTCCCAGCCACCCCAACTTTTTTAAATAGTGACCCTCATATGTGATACGTCATTGGAAATGCTTTCCAACCATACCAAATAGCATCACATTTGGGTTAGTAATTATCGTGCAAAACAAAAAATAAACTAGTATTAGATATAATTAGATTTTGTATGAACCAAATTAGAGTTTGTATGAAAGAGCATCAAATTAGATAGTTTTTTTTGTTGTGCTTGCATTATCGAAACATGTGACTTTCTAAGGCAAGCAAATAGGAAACTCTTTTCTTAAAAATGAAAGCAAAGAAGAGCCTAATTAATTTAGGAAAATAATCGCCAAGATATAAAATTACAGGACCCAACATACAATTAAGCCATAAAGAGATTAAATTTAGCATTTAAGATTTACTATAAACTACAGTGGGTACGACGAGGTACTCATTGGTACGGGCTTTCTCTCGCTTGGAAATAGTGTCCAAGATAAGGCTGTCTATCATGGAGATCGAAACCATAGAAGATACGATGATGGTCAAATTAGAGAAAAGATGCGCAATTAAACCATTATTATCGTGCTTTAGAGTAAACAAAAAAATTCCAATTACTTCCGAAGATACGACAGAAAAACCGAAAATTGCCGCTTTTATGTTTATTAAGCGGCAGAGCAAAGCGATGCAAAGTTTATAGGTGAGTCGATGGTGTCCGTTTCTCCGTGAACACGATAACTGTCAAACGCTTGAACCGATTTGGTTCAAACTTTGCACAGTTAACATTAGCATATATACCACAAGTAATAAGCCTATTGAAAATGGGTCAAATCCAATGACCCCTTAGCGTCACGCCTCTCTATCTCTGGCAAACGCTTGAACCTATTCGGTTCAAACTTTGCACAGTTAACATATATACCACATGAAACAAGCCAATTAAAAATGGGTCAAATCCAATGACTCCGTGGGGTCACACCGATGTGCTCTGTCGCTTTTTTAAACGCTCTTTATGGGTTTATTTTTTGCTGGTGTTATTGGAACAGATACAACAAGAAAAACAAAAGACATTTTCTCATTGCCACTTTTTGAAATCTACAAGACAGCACCCGCGCACAACTTGCGAGGATACCTATCGGATAAACTCCTGGAAAATAGAAAAAATGTTACATACGTATACTTGCACGATCAAAATATTGTGCGTAGATGCACCATCCTGTTGAAACCAACAATTTCCAACTTTTGTTTTTATTTGTGTGACGTACATAGTTGTATTCGTAATAAAAACTAAAAAGTGCTACTAAATACAATACAGTGTGTACTTCCACGGCCCATGTAAAAAAGTATAGTTTGTGATAATTTCTCCGAAACAAAACGTTGTATTAAGAGTCTTCCAACGGTGCTCAAAAAGGGGTAATGAAAAAGTATTTTTTGGGAACAAGAAAACGGCAGTTCTAGGTTCTAATGTAAACTCGAGTGTCTTCAAAAAGTTGATGATCGAGTCCAATACTCCTCAGAATTCTTTCCGCTTTTGAGGTTTCGACTAGAACCAGCAGGATTATATTGTGCCAGTAGAAAGGTCAAATTACCTCAACTTACAACGCCACCTGAACCACTCAATTCATTACTTCTTTCAGGGCAAAACCCTATATCGAAGCATTTCTTGCAGAATATTCAACAGTTATAAGCTGATTCCAAATGACATCATTTTTTGGTGCAAATATAATTCGGGAAAGGGGTTTCAATCCAAATTTTAAGGTATTATTTCTTCTGTAACCAACATCATACACATCCATCCCAACATGTAACTACGATTACGAAAATTTGTATTGCTCTACAGGAAACTCACCTGAAACCAAGGTCAAAATATAATATGAACCGGTTCAATTAAATACAACTTACCAAGCTGTAGCAGTCCAACTTGAAATTGACAAAACTTTTACTCTTTGTAACATATACGTTCCAAATACAACATATGCTGTAGAAGAAATTGGACCAATTATAAATCAGCTTCCAACGCCCTTTGTTCTTGTTGGAGATTTCAATTCTCACAACACTGTCTGGAGCTCTGGTTCAAATGATGCCCGAGGCAAAGAGTTATTGGATCTCATTGAAAATAAAAACTTAAGCTTGCTAAATGACAACTCAGCTACGTTCTTCAATGTGAAGTCAGGAACATTTGATTTCATTAATATATCAGTGTGTTCACCAGCTATACATACAAATTTAAAATGGGAGGTGGAAAATGATTTATATCATAGTGACCACTTTCCCATAATTATTACAGTTCGAGGTCACAATCCTGCTATTCGAACGGTAGCTAAGTACAAAATCAAACTAGCAAATTGGGAACATTTTACAAAACAGCTCATCCCGCCTAGTCAGGAAAATATAACTCTTGAAACTTTTACCTCCTCTATTATAAATGCTGCCGAGGCCAGCATTCCAAAATCAAAACCTGGCAAAATAAGAAAGATAGTTCCATGGTGGTCAACTGAAATTAAAGAAAAAATCTCATTAAAGAAAAAATCTTTGAACAAACTTCGGCGTAATCCCACAATGGATAATCTTATAGAATTCAAAAAACAAAGGTCACAGTGTCGCCGGGCAATACTGGAAGCCCAGAGAAATTCATGGCAACAGTACGTATCCACCATGACCCCGGAGACTACCAATAGTGAAGTGTGGAAGAAAGTGGGAGCTATATCTGGCAAAATCAGTTCCAATTACCCGACGTTTTTGCGAAACACTGAGGAAAAAGTTATAAATAATCTGCAAGATATAACTAACACTATTGCTGATCAATTCTATAAGGTTAGTAGCTCCTCTAACTATCCTCCCACATTTTTGGGCACTAAACCTGAAAAAGAGTCTATACATATCAACTTTAACACAGAAGAAAATCTAAATTATAACTTACCTTTTACTCTGGAAGAATTAGAGACAGCAATCTTCAGTACCAAATCCTGCTCGCCAGGCCAAGATGGTATCCATAATCAGATGCTACGCCATTGTAGCGCTGAAATGAAAGAAATCATTTTAAAATTCTTCAATGTGTGTTGGAGTAAATCTACTTACCCTCCAGAATGGAAACGAGCCATTGTCGTCCCTATACCTAAGCGGTAAGCCAGGTAAAGACCCGTTGTTAGCACAACA